ATTAAACTGTGCGCATTCGCCGTTGTCCCAAGACTTGAGCGTCTCCTGTATGCCCGAAAATTCACCTTGAGTTGTGGCAACAAGTCCAAATGTATGGTCACTATCGTAGGTTGATCCGCACAGCTGGATAGCTACAGTACTAGCGGCAATGTCACCGTCGTCGAACTGCTCTTGCAGCATCTTCAGGGCCAGAGAACCCACACCAGCGCTGTGCAAGCCCTTGCCGATACGGAGGCCGAATACTGTTTTCCCGGACTGGCCGTACAGAAAGGCAGCCCTGGCATTGTTGAAAGCATAGCCTCTAGAGAGGTATTGACGCGTCTGTGACAGTAGAGATCGGAGGTCAGACGCTGTTTCTGATACTTGGGTAGAATTCCAGCCAATTTCATAAGTGGCATTGACAGCAGGAACCGGCGGCAGGGCGTCAGTGCCGGGAGACTCAGGCATATTCTCCCAGTCCGGGCCATACGATGAGCATGCATAAATGCGGTGGTGGGACGCTGAGTCGTCGACGGCATCGTAGAGGGCAAATTGGTAAAACAGGGTCTCCTTGCACTGAAGCTGATCAAAGTTGTGGTAAAGAGACCAGTTACCAGAATTAGGTCCGGACACGCTGCACCGAGCTGGGCAGGCGACCTCCCTCCCAGCGTAGCCTGGGCTTGATGCCTGACGAGTCCCTATCAGTCCAGAGGAACAGTCGACGAGAGGAAGCGCCCCCAAAGCGGCAATAGCCGCTTGGAGTGGAAGGAGCTTCATATGGTTCAGGATACACCTTCAAATGAGCGGTAGAATAATAAAAAGAGGGTCACTGTATAAATAAAGAGTGGATAGATGACAATAAGACAACAGAAGGAGTGACGAAGTGCAAACCAAGTAATAGCGAGCGTGATTTGATTGCAGCATGTAGCATTCGAGCAGATGACGTTCTTGAAGCAATCTTTATAAGTTCTCGATGAGGAAATGGACCCATCACGGCCTCGAACAGGTCTACTCCGGCGACAAGCCCTTTGCCGCCGCCCACATGGTAATGTAGTCCATATGCCGAAGGCTCCGGACAAGGCTTTGACTATTAGGTGGACTATAATTTAAAATTTTGCAGATGCTTACGCCAGAGCACGCTACACTTCAGCTTACCTTCATCTAGCCACGCCAGAGAGTCAGGCTCAGTCAGATTTTGCAAGGCGCGCCAGGCGTTCATGGCGGAGGCGGAAACTTCCTAGTGGCCCATTGGGCTGTTTTTGAAATGGTTCCACGATACTGCATGGTAAAATTACATGGCTTCCGGTCCAGAATTCCACGTTGATGCATAGTGAAATTACGTGGCTTAGGGCCCGAATTATTGTAGAAGTCCACAGAAATCAACTTGGCCTGATTCATGGTCAAGTCTTTCCGATTAACTGTCTGGCACTCTGGTTCTTGAGCCACTTCTATAGCTTCTCTTCTTGTAAATGAATTAGTAGCAAAGACGGATTATATAATATTTATAAGCTAGAGAGCAAGATACATCAATCAACGAAGAAACCGAAGCGCTGGTACATCAACTACAGTTCTATATCGGTATAACCTCAATCGACTCCAACAGAGCTCTTTCGTACTCAATACTCAATTCCTCAAATCAGAATGGCAAAACCAGCCAGTATTATGCCAGCAACTACACCGGCAGTAGGAAGGGCCCTTGGCGCGGCATTTTTAGGGGGGCAGCTCGCAAGCGAAGTAGGTTTCGAGCAAGCCGTGGCCAACAAAGCTGCAGACATGCTAGATGCCGAGTCCGAGTCGACCTTTGCAGCACAAGGGTTGGTCTTTGGCAGCGAAGTATCGTTGGCAGTCACGAGGCAATTGTCCATTCCCGAGAGAAAGTCGCGAGCCTTTCCATACTGTCCCTCGAGAGAAAGAATGTCGGTAATGTTAAAGCCAGCGCTCGTGCGATCCTCGTCCTGCGAATGGAAGCACTCACCGCCCTGGTCTTTGGGCGTCTCAAAATCTGGCTGTTTCCCGTCGGCTGAAATGGTGAAAGTGGTGTATCTCGGCTGCGAGTTGCCCGTGACTCCGCCGTTGATCTCACTGGAACCCTTTGGATCTCGGGAGCAGTTTGGCATCGTCACGTCCCACGCAATCACCCACGTGCCGTTGGACAAGATGGCGCTCCGCATGTCCTCGTATACAAAGTAAACGCCGTTTTCGTTTCCGCTCTTGGTATCGTCGTTGCTCTTGGAGTAGTTCAAGTGTGGGCGGAAGTTGGTCAAGGTCGCGGAGTAGTCGTCCTCGCGGCGCACCCTGACTTGCACGTTCGGGCCCGTACTGCCCATATAAGACACGAGCTCGGCGTTTTGCATCGCAAAGATGAAGGGAAAGGTCGGGCTCAGCGCGTATGTCTCGTTTCGCGGGAAAATCAAGTCAAACTCGACAACCGCTGGCAGAGAGACATTTGCTGATGTGGCGGCGAGGGCGGCCGGTGCGAAAGCCGCGAAAGCCGCGAAAGCCGCGGCAACGAAGGGTGAGGCACGCATAATACGCAGAGGGTGTTTGTGACTCTCTGAGCAACGCAGTAGCGGAAGGGACGAAAGAAGAAGAAAACTCGACAGTAATTTAATCTGCTGAACGAACGCGGCTGCGATGTGGCGTAATAGTGGGAAACTATGTCCCTTGTCTGTTGTGGTAATAAAGCCGGGACAGGCCTGAAAATCCACTCTCCTTCAGGGGTCGAGAGATTGATTCCCGTCAGCCCGGAGGCTCGGCCCGCGAGGAAAAGCCGCTCGAGGGGCAGTTTTGTTTTCAGCAGGTGCAGACATAGGTAGTATATGCATACTGCAGATTAATTTTCTACGGCCACAACTAGTGGGCTGAGAACCCGCAACGGCCGCCAGGTCAAGCCGGACATGAGCAGGGCTAGCGGCTCAGAGCGCCAAATCTGGCCGTCTTGCGATCGATTCGCCCAAACTACGCATTATTAGGCTAGGAGACACGCGACAGCACTCCCTGACACGGGTATCGAGGCAAGGCTGCCAAGACCACTATTGGGGGGACTTGCCCGGTTCGCACCGTTGCGCCGCTCTGCCTCCACTCAATAGCGGGAGAAAAATTATGGACTGGGAGAAGAAAAGTCTCCGAGAAGTTTACGAGAAACGAAATGCTGTCAAGTTCGTGCAAGTCAAAATTTTGGGCAGGATTGCCGAGGCTTATAGTGATGCCACGTAATTAGCCGTCGTGTATAATAGGAAGAAGTGCTGCTTCAGAGGTACTCGTACCCAGTCGTAAATCAGGTACACATTTTCAGCCTTTCCCATTATGCAGCGACATCTTCTTCTTGGCTTGGCAGGGCTGCCGGCTCTCCTCTCGGCGCAAAGGGTCTCTGTGACTTGCAGTTTCTCGACTGTTGCTGCAAATGGCGAGACGTGCGATAGCATGGCCGCGACTTGGGGTTTGGATGCGGCCACTTTCCAATCTTTGAACCCCAACGCAAAATGCCCCAAGGTCATTGGAGGTGAGGAATACTGTGTAGTTGGAACTGTGACCACTGTCACTGGTGAACCCACCACGGTTCCTGCAACCACTTCCACCAAGCCGGCGACAACGACGACAAAGATGACAACTTCCACGGTACCAGCCAACGGTAAGCAAGCTCTTAAGCACCAAAACACTGGAGCCGATTCTAATCTCACGGCCGGGTTCCGGTCAATGTTTTAGGCATCGCTACCCCCTCTCCGCTACAGCGTGATCTCGTCTCAAACTGTAACAAGTTTTATTTCGTCAAAAAGGGCGACAACTGTGCTGAAATTGTCGAACAACACAACATTGAGCTCTCAGACTTTTTGGAATGGAACCCCAGGACCGGCAGTGACTGCTCTGGCCTCTGGGCGGACACCTATGCCTGCGTCTCCGTCATTGGCTACGTCCCCAAGCCCAAGCCCACGTCGACCAAGCCGACGCCCACGGGCAACGGGATCCCGACGCCGCTGCCCACGCAGCCCGGCATGACGGACGGCTGCAACAAGTTTCGGTTTGTCAACCCGGGTGATACCTGCGAGAATGTTGCCTCGCGCGCCGGCGTCTCGCTGTCTGATTTCCTCCAGTGGAACCCAAAAGCCGGAAGCACCTGCTCGGGCCTGTGGGCAAACGCGTACGCCTGTGTCGGCATGGTTGCCTTTTCGCTCAAGTCGCGGTACCATGCAGACTGCAGCGGCGACGTGCACAACGTCGTCAACCTGGACGGGGGCGACGGCCAGTGCATGAACACGGACTGCAGCGTTGGCAGCCTGGAGATTGCGTCGGCTGGCCTCTGCCCGGATGGCGAGGTGCAGGTCAGTTACTGGGAGCAGCCCGGGTGCCAGGGCCAGTGGTTTGGGTACGGGTACACAAAGAGAGGAGAGTGCCGCCGCTTGTGGACTGATGGGTGGAAGTTTAAGGCGATTCACTTGCGCTGTGCAAAGAGCCAGGATGACTGTGTGAACCAGGGCAAATGCACTTATGAGCCTGAGCCAGCTCAGGGTGTCTGCTAGGTCACTGATGCGTAGCGACATCGTATTGAGTTACCAGGCAGGTCGACTGATCCAATTAGTAGAGAATATGACACCGATAGAGTCAAACTAAGTTAGATTTCTGAAACAATTATTAGTTATTATAAAAGAAGATGAATATTTGGTACATTGTTCCCACCGGCCGTGGCGATGGGGATTCAGGAGACCAATTGAGCAGCTGGACGAGAGGACATGAAACAATATTAAAGACGATAATTGTACTTCGAAAATAAAACACGTATTCTCCTTCACAAGTCAAATTCTCTAGAACCGCTGCCGCGGTATAACTTTTTTTTAAGGTGGGAAACAGTAGAATTATGGCGGAAATAATTTCTTTTTATTTTAAAAGGTTTCTTCGTCGAGGAAGAAAGCGTCGATAGAGAGAAACGGATGCCAATTCCTGGAGGTCCACCCAAGAAAGAACCTTAGAAATCTTTATCCTCCTTATAAACAAAACGACATCCACTAAAAACGACCCGTCCAGCGATGTTGGCTCTCGGTAGAGGCTCGTACTATATTCATCCCCAAGAAGTGGTGGTCGACTTTACGAAGGTGGCACTATACAGTCTTTGGCTAACTGTACTCCTTCCGTCGCGTAGGGCCGCGTCGTTGAGACTGTCACAGGTGGTGAGCTCTGGACGCCCGCCGTTTTGCTGGATGTCCATGCTGGATTCGGTCCACAAAATGCCGAAAAGGCGATTAACGACTTTCGCCAATGGGACGATGTTTTCTCTGACGACTTCACCTCAACACTTATGCTGGAAGAAGAACGAGGATGTTGGTGATGTAGCTGCGCAACTTGCCCAAAGTAGCTTTGTCACCTACACCAACGACCCAACTCATACTTTGGGTTTCTACCACCGGCACCGTACTTTATCCGCGGCAACTCAATCCATCAGGCCTAGAAGCTCTATGATGACCACCTAGATGCCTTTGTCATCCCTACCATTACAGACGATGTTATCAACCCGACCAGGTCAGCCCATTGGGGTCTACTCACACCAACTACGCGGTGCTAATTTACTTGTCCAACTCAGTTTCTCCGTGCCGCAAGCGGTGTCGCAGCAAGGTTCCTTTCGAAGCGTCGCCGTACCAAGTCGACTTTACTCAAGCCCGAGCAGAGAGAAGTGTAACGACGGCTTCTAGGTTTGACCGTTAGACCACAGAGACCTTAAAAAGGTCAAGTAATAGCAGCCGACAAGGCCCAATATCCCTAGAATCTACTATAAACCTTACAGTCTATGACAAGAAGCCACTCGCTAGTGCCCGTATCAGCATCAAAGATAACTACGACCTAAGCGAAATCCGAACCACCATGATGAATCGAGCCTACAATGAGCTATACCCAGCGCGTACATCCAGTGCAGACTATCTCAAGAAGCTGATTGGACTGGGTGCTGTCATCGTAGGCAGGACCAAGATGTCTGTCTTTGCATCCGCAGAGGAGCCAACTGATCAGTGGATCGACTACCACTGCCCATTCAACCCCAGGGGTGACAAGTATCAGACTCCCTCATGCCGTTCTCCTGGCGCCGGTGCTTCTCTTGCAAGCTACTCTTGGCTCGATCATTCGATCGAAACGAGGAGTAAGTGCCACTGTTCCGCCATCATCTCCGAATCCTCCTCCAAACCCTCCGCAAAATCCTTGGTCAAAGTCGCCCTCGCCGCCAAATAACTGCGGGTCGCGTTTCTCGGTATCTCTCTTGTCCAGCTGGCCAGAGAAGAAGCCAGCAGGGTGGCTCTGGGTCTGCTCATCGGTAGCAAAACGGTTGGCCTGGCCGACGCCGCCGAAGGTATCCTGAGGCGAGCCGGCCTGAATCGGCAGGCGCTGCTGCGGGCTACGCTGCTCGACATCCCGCTTGTGAGGGGGCAGGAGGCCAGAAAGAACCCTGCGAAGATGACTCGGGATGTCGATTTCTCTCCACCTCCAACGAGCGAGAGCTGGCAGGGTCAGGCCAGAAGCGCACAGACTGAGCACTTTTGCTCTCGTTGACGGAATTATGAGCAGGATATAGTGATATAGCATAACCTGTGGTGTGTACTATACTTTTTTCTTATCATGGCAACAACTAGGCTATCCAGAGCAGAACTTGTCAAGAAAAAAAATATAAAGATGGCCCATTGCTCTCTCTGGTTGAGAGACAGGCAGCATTCACATTTCTTTCCATTTTGAAACAAACCGAGAAAAAAGAAAGGACAACACCACAAAGCATTACAAAGCAACTTGGAAATCTTTCATCATGTTTAATCTGACCAATCCTGACCGCGCGATCCGCGTTGGTGTCATTCTGCTCAAAGGGTTCGTGGATAAACAGCCGTTGCCTTACGACTCGCTGACCTCCTTGTTCTCTGCTTGAACCATTAGCATTGCCGAGCTGATTGACGTGGCACCCGTCGAGCTCTTTCGGCACGTCAGCCACGAGTTTGTCGACTATCTACCGTCCTCGGCCGTCCCGGCCCAGCTCAAGCCGCAGGCTCACCATTTCGAGTACCACTGGGTCTCCGAGGCAGGCAGCAAGTCCCTGATGAAGGGCACCAGCGGTAGCACGATTGTGCCTACTGTACGACAATTCTCAAATTTCCCTTTTCCTCTTTCTTTGTCATCATCATCATCATCTTTTTTTTGTATTTTTTTTTTCATAGCTGGCTAACCTGTGGCGTGGTCAAACAGGACTCCTTCAAAACCTGCCCCCCCCTCGACATTGTCATCATTGGCGCGTCAGGTGCCTCAAACCCCAGCCCGGCCGAGCTGCAGTTTCTCCAAAAGAGCTACAACGACAGCTCCGCCTTCATCACCACCTGCTTTGGCATGCTGGGCCCCCTCAAGGCCGGCCTATTCGACGGCAAGACGGCGACGGCCCCGAGCTTCTTCCTCGACGAGCTCCGCGCTACGAACCCCAACACCACCTGGGTGGATAAGCGCTGGGCGCGCGACGGCAAGCTGTGGACGAGCGGCACCCTGCTCAACGGCATCAACGTCGTCACGGCCTTTATCCAGCACACGTGGGGAAGCGGCGACGGCTCGCTGCCGGACGTCATGGGCAAGTTTGCGGCTTGGCCGACGGGCACGGACAGCTATGACGAGATTGTGTAGCGGGGACGGTTGAGTAGGGCAAGGCGTGTCTGGAACATGGGATTTTGCCATAAGAATGGTGCATTTATTTCAGTGATCTATTCCGTCGTATGGCTTTGTGTTGGCTATTACGTGCTGCTGCCTACATGCGCCATGTCGTTGAATTGGCGGTTGAGGCTCAATGCCTGCACGTAGTGCCTCGCTATTTGAAACTACATGGTACAAGTCGCCATATTTTTCTTTTCTTTTCAATAGCCATATTTCTTTTCAGCTAGATCAGAAATCCTATGCCTCTACTTTGTTCAGAGTGCAATTCGTGCCGGGTGGGAAATTAAATCACTTTTCAGAATTATATCAAATCCATGGTGGTTGCAGAATAGTATTGACATCGCCATTTTGAACCCTCCCTGTCTCCCGCGAAGGCGCTCATGGCCGCTTCGTAAAGACGAGCGGGCACGCATCCTAAACCAGCATTAGTACGCGGCGCAAAACACCAACCAGAAGAATGACTTACCATTGGAAACAGACAGGCAAACACACGGATTTCTTCCGACTTGTCCGTCGCGTGATGTACCCAGTCCAGCTCCAGCGACGCTTTTCCAATCATGGCCGCCATGTACAGCGGCACATATCGCCTCGCGAGGCAGTCGTGGGGGCCGGCGCCAAAAACGAGCCAGTTCTTGGTCCTGCTCTCGGCGTCGCCCGTGATCCAGCGCTCGGGGTCGAAAATGTTGGGCTCCGGGTAGGCCTCGGGGTCGTGCAGCGCTGGGTAGCAGGACGGGATGATCATGGAGCCTTTCGGCGCCGTGTAATTCGGGGTGACGGGGAAGCTCTTGGTCGTCAGGTACGGCACAAAGATGACGGGGGGGCGGTGGCGGAGGAGCTCCTTGATGACGGCGTTGGTGTACGTGAGCGATTCCAGCATGGGCAGGTCATACGGCTTGTTCCTGTCGCCGCCCCGGGCAGCAAGGTTCTCCTCGCGAATGCGGTCGAGAATGTCGGGTCTCTGGGCCAGAATTTGAAAAAGCCAGGTCGTGGCGCTGCTCGAGGCATCCTGGGAGGCGAAGAGAAAAGTGAAGAGCGTCTCGGAAATCTCTTCGTTGGTGAACTCGCGAATCATGTTGCTTGGCTTCTCAAGGTTGGTCTCACCAGCGGCCACCCGCTGGCGGTACTGCTCCGACTCCATCATGTGCAGCACCCATTGGTCGACGATGCAAGTCGGCGTCGCGCCGATGGACATTTTGGACTTGCAGGCAGCTGCGCACTTGGCAAACTCGCGGTGCACCTCGTCGGCGATGCGCTTGCCCAGCCACTGCTTGCTGTACGGGATGTACATGGACAAGGGGACGTTGACAAGCTCCATGGCCTCTGTGACGCGGTAAAAGTCGTCGGCAATCTTCTTGACGGCTTCCTGGGAGATGTAGTCGCCAAAGAATGTGCGGCACGACAGCGCGCAGTTGATCTCGCGGAACCACCCCATGAACGGGAACGGCTTCCCATTTTTGGCGGCAGTCTCGGCGAGAAACTTGTCGAAATAGTCGGCAAAGACCTTTTCCTGCACCGGGAGATATGTGGAAATGGCCTTGTTGGTGAAGAGGGGAGTGAGTCCTCGACGGTACTCGGCGTGTGCTCTGCCCTGCAAAAAGACCCAGGCCTTGTGGCCGAGGAGATCCTTTGCGATGGGCACGATGCAGGGCTCAGCATACGCAGGCGACTTGAAGACCTTGTGCGCCAGGTCGCGGTCGGAGACGAGGACGACGAATCTATGGTGGAACCATGATGAGCTGGGGTAGTCTTGGTGGTGTGTTTGCAACCATACTTGTGAAAGACGGATACACAGCTTAGAGGGCCACTCGCCCACTGTGCGAGATAGGACTCAAATTTGGGGTGCAGTGCCTGGATAAAGGGTCCCATGAGGGGAATTTTGAAAGTTGGGCCAGCGATGGAGCCTTTTTGCTTGATGTACATGACTGAAGGAAGGGTGCATCAGTCAGTGGCATCTTGGTGATGGAGGGTGCTGGACTTACACTGATCATACGCGATGACGCCCAAGATGACCGTCACTACATACTGCCAAGTATGCCAGCCGGCGAAGGCGGCGACCAGAGAGTGCTGTAGTTGTCGGACGAGTGGTGGCAGCGGCAGCGTCATGAAGGGCAGCGCCGTGAAGGGCAGCGCCGTGTCGTTGGTCGCACCCACTGACATGATGGGAAGAGACAGCTAGAGGACAATATCGAGGCGGGTTGTGTGCAAGGAGAAAGGCGGGAGAAGGAGGCCTAAGGTCTCTTTTAAAGTGTACATGCGGCGCGATGGTATAACCATCTTTGTCCAACGCCACCCCCTGGCGCGGCGGGGAGGAACCCGGAGGCTGAAGGACAGCACTTCGCATGGTCTCGGCGGCTCGTTTGTAGGGGGTAAGTTGGGTGATACATTAATCAACAGACAGGAGGCAGGCTGCAAGTCGAAATTGGATAGTGTTTTCGACGGACATGTGCAGAGGTTGAAAGGATCCGCGGTTTGCCTGGTGGCTTGAATTGCTTTTCGGTTGGCCATTCCGCAAATCATGATTGGCGCGGCCAGGGATTGGCGAGACGTTGAACTGCGGGCGCCGCAGCGGGTGGCCCAAAGAGTACTAGTCTCCGATTCGTGTTCGGTTAGTGGGTGGGGCGGAGACTAATCTCGTTTGGGCACAAGCACACACATCCCACATCGTCCGCGCGCCGGCCGTGGCTGAACTTGAACATGTTATTAACTGGTTATTATGTAGTCCCGCCATCAGCATCAATCAGCATCGAATCAGGCTGCCACGAGCTCTTTTCCCGTTGCTCGCCAGACTCTTCGGCGCTCCTGCAGCGCCTGTGCTTGTGCAAAAACTCGCTGCGACTTGCGCATACCGCACTGTTCGCGCTGCGCTGGCCGCAAGCAATATATTCTACGCCTACGCAAACGAGCCCTTGGCCACGTCCCGGCGCCCCAGCATCTTCTTCAGATATCGGCTTTTGGGTCTGTTGATCTATGCAAGACATATCCCCGTGTCAACCTTGACAATGATCATGTCCAATGTCTGATGCATACGTAGCTGTATGCGTCCTTCATCGTCCGTCCTCTGCACGCACCATGTCCCGGGTCAAAACTCGGACCCTTTGGATCTCTGGCTGGTCGCGGTCGGCTTATTATTGGCTTCTCATGGCACGCCGTTCTACGAGCTCTTTCAGCAGAAAGTGCGGTTACTTGCCGCACTTCTGGGCTTCAAGTAGTGTTAAGAGGTCTCTACACCCATCAAGAGTGTCTTGTGGCTCGAGGCACCGCATATCGAATACGTTTTCCAGAGTCACTGGGGCATGGCACTTGGTCACAACTGTCAAATGGTGACTTTTGACCCGCCGCAGATTGCACCCTCCAGCACGAATCACGAAGGAAGCAGCCACGATTTACAAAAGTATAGATGAAATCAAGGCGGCATCACCAAACACGACACCACGCAAATAAGCTCAGATGGGTGCAGTATTGTACATGAAGGGAACATACACATCCGCACCCAGTGCCATGCTGCAACTCGAAATCAATCTAGAAAGCATACTCCGCTGCATCCTCCCGCAGCTTGAACTCGACGCAGGTGTTGAGGTCCGGAATCACGACGTCATACATGCTAGTATTCGATGGTCGCTCCGTCCGCCCGCCAGCGAAGCGCAGATGATACTTGATGAGAATGTTGGAGATGATCATCTTGATGGAATGATCAGCAAAGAAGCGTCCGGGGCACACAATCTTGCCGTGGCCAAAATGCAGATTGTTTTCGCTCGTGGTCGTGAATTCTATCTGCCGTTAGTACATGGCACTTGGACATTTGTCAAGCAGCGCTACTTACGATGCCAGTTGCCCTGACCCGATATCTGCCTGTTCTTGTACTGCCTCATGCCGTCGAATTTCTCGGGGTCGGGCACTCGGTCGGGATCAATGCCGATTGCATAAGTCGCCATCTGGATGTGTGCGCCTTCGGGGAGGACGACGCCATCATGGAGGGTCACGGGCTCGCGAACGATGGCATTGAAGCCGACTACCAGGAAATTACGGTTAGCAACAAGTCAAAGGCAAGGTACTTTGGAGCTTACGCTGCGTGGGAGGACTGAGGCGCTGGGACTCTCGCATGAAACTGTCCATCTTCTTCATATCGGCAATAGCCTGTCTGGTGTATCCTCCGTTGCTCAGGATCTCGATGGCCTCCTGTCGAAGTGGTTCCACGTACTCAGGGTGAGCACACAAATCGAACAGGACTTGTGCCACCGCAATGATGGTAGAGGGGCCAGAGCCTAGGTACGTCACCATGAGTCGCTGCACGGTCGTGCTGACATCGTCCTTGATGTCTACGCCACCGTCCATCAGGTGCTGCAGGAAGTCATCGGGCTTGACGTAGCTGACGTCCTCGGCCTCACGTCGCCGCCGCTCGCGGATGAGGGGAATGACTAGGCGCCTGGCCTTGCGCAGGGCCCTGTCCACGCCCCAGCTGGTGGGCAGGAAGAAGGCGACTGTCGGCTTGGCCCAGTCCGGGAAGACGCGGAGGAGGAAGTTGTGCATGAAGCCATGCTCGGAGTAGTTGATGGCCGTCGACAGATACTCTTCATTCTCGGCTAGCTCGGTGACGAACTGCGTGGCCACGCCTCGGTGGACCATTCGACGGGCCAGCGACAGGGCGTTGACGCTTGTCCACTTGTCGGCCGTGGCGGGCAACTCCTGGGGCAGATGCTTTCGGAACTGCTCCTGCACCAGGGGCACATGGGCACCGAGCTTGGGAGTGAGCCTTGTCGTGATCATGCGGGTTTGCAGGCTGTGGTCTGTAATGACGGCCGTGATGGAGTGGAGCCGCTGAAACGCGTCGACAATGGCCGTGTTGAGGCTCAGCTTCTCCGGGGGCATGCTGGCGAGCTCAGCCAGGTATTTGTTGGGGACTATGAGGAGGTCGTTGCCGGACACTTTGAAGAAGGTGTCCCGGTATTGTGCGTAGCCCTGGCGGATGAGGGCCGGCCCGTTGCGGTAAAACTGCCAGCGGCCAAGGATGGCATTCTTGTACCCGACAATGGGGGCTTCAAAGTTGTAGTTGCCATAGATGTTTGGCACGGGCTTCTTGTTTCTGGATGACAGAAACCACCAGATAACCAAGCAGCTCAAGACGGTGGAAACGGCCGAGGTGGATGTGCCAAACAGGGTCTGGAATACTGGCGCGACTGCCTGCAGCCTGGTTTCATTGTGTATGGCAGACTCCATATTGTCAAGGACGAGCGAGCACCCTGATTCTAGAAGACGTTGAAATCACAAGGGAGAGGAAGAAACAGAATCATCTCTTTCAAAGTGCCATTTTATACCCAAAACGCCATCAGCGGATCAAAAGCGTCAATCAGATACCTACCAGCCTTTGCCTGCTTTCCTCTCTGGCCTTTGGCAGCCTGATCCACGCGCGAACTCGTCAGCGCTTGGTTTTGCCGGTTATGGCAAAAAGACTCCAGCTGCTGCGCCCGAATCGAAACGTACTCGAGTCACATTGACGCATGTGAAGCTTTTAGTTTTATTCCTATTAACCTTTATTCGTTGGTGTGGTTGCCGAACCCAGCAAGTTTGTCTACTGCCTTTTGCTGACCACCACCAACCCCCCTTGCCACTGTACACGTTGGACGCACGCAAGCATCCACAAACCGCAGCCTTATGTCGGAAAGGGCAGCGAGACATGCTACATGCTGCTTGTGTCGTTGTTGAACGCTGCGTTTTTTTTTTTCTTCACCTCTTTTTCTCCTCTTTTCTCTTCATCCCAGGCGTCACCGCGTCAGCCTCATAGATGGGGCGAAACTCAACCCGTTACTTGCAGACCCCAACGGCAGACACGGTATGTTCCCGGTGTAATGGTACGCCACGATTGGGGATCTTGGCTGGAAGAAGCAAGGGCCGAGCAAGGAGTAAAATAATAATGGAAGAAACGGGGAAGAAAAGAAATGGCACATGGAGGGAGAGCCGCAGCGGACCGCTTCGGGAATGCGCAATATGGGAGCAAGCCACGAGAGTTGAAAAAGAGCTCATTTTTCGTAAAGGGCGGCCAGTCTTTCGCCATTAGGCGAATAGGGAGGACTTAGAATAAGCAGCAGCCTTGCCAAGGAGGGGAAGGGGGGGTTGGAACGCGCGCGGGTTCCAGTTTGCGGCATATTATTGATTTCAGGGAGGGCAAACAAAAAGTATACTTTATTATTTATTCATGTATTTTCATTCTGTATCTGTTCCTGTGCCCCTGTACAGCCTGGTTCCCGAATGGGGTGTGCGAATGCGTGTGCGTGTATGTGTGTGATAAGAGAGAGTGAGAGTGTGTGTGTGTGTGTGTGTCACGAGCTGGATAAGCAAGTGGTGAGAACATATGCAGGTAGTGAGAAGGAGGGAGGGCAATCAAAACCGCCATCAATAATGACATGAAAAATATCGAAAGTATAACGTCATATACCTTTGGCTTTTGTCTGAAACGGCTTAGAATGACGAGGCTAGAACGACGAGGCTCGAACGACGAGGCTAGAACGACGAGGAGGATCACAAAAGGGCGTGTTGGGGGCGGGCGGGCACAGAGGCGAAGGCGAAGTAAACGAAGTGGCGTTTGGCTTGTTATTGGAATCATGTAAGAAGTAATAGCGCCATGGACGAGGCTAGTATGAGAGAGAGAGATGGGAGACAAAACGACTCCGGGACGGACGGAAAGGGCGGAGATTAGGAAGAAGAGGAGGGGAGAATGAAGAGGGCCTTGTTTTTGTTTTTTTAAAAAAAAAGTATCTAGACTGTCTCTACTAATACAAGCAATGGGTATAAGTCGTATATTGCGTGAGGGAGAAACGTTATTGCACACAATGGCTCTCTTTTTGGTGTATGCGCTCATCACTGTGGTTGTACTCGTGTATTCCTTCGAGTACCTCATCGGCTGCCGTGATGATGAGCGGGAGCCTCGCAGGCTGCGCGCCAGGACACCGCTCGTTGGGCACCTGCTCGGCATCATCGCTCACGGCCCATCCTATCACAGCAAACTCAAGTATGCCACTCTCTCTCTCTCACTCTTTCTCGCCTTCCTTCTCCGTCTCCGTCTCCGTCTGTCTCCAAGTGAGCTGCAAACTTTCATCATCATCACCTCTGCCGGCCCCAGTGTGAACAAGCAAAACCACTAACACTCGTACTCTTCCTTGCTCGTTTGTCCGTCCCAGACACGACCATGACGTCGAAATCTTCACCCTCGGCATCCTGCACCTCAAGCTCTACACCAGCGTCTCGACGCGGCTCATGCCGCTGATCCAGCGGCAGCCGCAGCGGCAGCTTTCCTTTCTGCCTATGCTCCGGCACGTGGCTCGGCGCTGGGGCGGTGCCAGCGACGAGACGGACGCGCTCTTTGCGCGGACGGACCTCGCGGCGGACTTGAGCCGAGCCATGCGGACGAGCCTCGCGCCGGGGCCGCACCTCGACGCGCAGAACCTGCGCATGGCCCGCAGGGCCCTCGTCGACGTGGACGAGCTCCTCGGCAGGGTCCGCGAGCAGGAGCAAAAGGGGGGTGGTTACACGGTGAAGCTCTTGGAGTGGACGCGTCACGCGGCGATGCAGGCGTCGAGCTGTGGTGTGTACGGCAACAACCATCCCTTTCTGGATCCAGAGATTGCCGCTGCGTTTTGGTAGGTTCATCTCTCCTTCCATCTCTCTCTCTCTTTTTGGGGCCGGGGGGGGGGGGGGGGGGGCAATATTGCTCGTCGTGGACCTGGAGAGCTGACGGATGAAACAGGACATGGCACGCCCATCTCTCGTCCCACCTCTCGGGCGCCGTCAATCTCGACAGCCTCTTCCGCACCGGCTACGCGGCGCGCCAAAAGGTTTTTGCCGCGCACGAGCGCTACTGCGCCGCCGTCCCGGGCGACGCGTCGGAGCTCCTCCGCTCGCGGTGGCGGGTCCTCCGCGCCGCCGGCGTGCCCGAGGCCGACTGCGCCCGGCAGCAGGCGACGCTGCCGATTGGCATGCTGAGCAACACGGTGCCGACGCTGTACTGGACGCTGTGGGAGCTGTTTTCGCGGCCGACGCTTTTGGCGCTGGTGCGGGACGAGCTCCTCGCGGCAGGGGCCGTCGTCGTCGTCCAAAGGCCAACACCACAAGAGGTCGACGACACTGGTAGCAGTAGTGGTGCTGGTCATGGTGAATTTGCGCTCCATGTCGCCGCGCTCAAGCGCCGCTGCCCGCTGCTGCTCTCCGTCATGCAGGAGACGCAGCGCGCGCGGCACGTCCACGCCGCCGTCCGCAAGGTGCTGCGCGACACGGAGCTCGACGGCGGGCGGTACCTGCTCCGCGGGGGCAGCTACCTGCAGATGCCGGGCTACGCGATCCACCACAGCACGAGCGTCTGGGGCCCGTCGGCGGGCGAGTTTGACCCGCACCGGTTCGTGCCGAGGGAGGAGGAGGCGGAGGAGGAGGAGGAGGGGGAGGGAGGAGGAGGAGGAGGAGGAGGCGGGGAGACGACAAAGAGGAGGAAGCAGAGGGGAAGCGATTTCTTGGTGTGGGGCGCGCCACCGCATTTGTGTCCGGCGCGGCAGTTTGCGGCGACCGAGATGCTCATCCTCGTGGCGCTGCTGGCGATGCGGGCGGACCTGGCGCCGGCAGAAGGGGGCGGCGCGTGGGAGGCGGCGCCGGCGCTCGACTTGGGCGATCCGGTCACGGTGCTGAATCCGAAGCGGGATGTGCCGGTCAGGGTGATGAGCCGGCCAGAGTGGGAGGGGGAATGGAGCGTCGTCATGTCGGAGAGTACGCTTCGTGTGCCTCTGGCCTCGGGCTAGGTAGTCTTGACATGTTTCGCAGCACCTTTTTTGCCTGTATTTCGTAGCAGACGGACGACCTCGCTGATGAAACCACAAATGAATTTTTTTGTAAATGCCTTTTTATCTCACCTATGCCCCTATTTCAACGACTTTATGGGCCCCCGAGATGTCGAGTTTGTTTTCTCCTCCTTCTTTATAACCCCCTTCCCTATTTCGTGGCAGAAATATCATGTCCTCTTACCCAGGCGGATCCTCCAGCCGCCGAAACAGGGTCACAAACTTGAGGCCCTTGCTCCTCGCCACCTTCTTCCCCTCCGTGGACTGCAGCTGGCAATGGTTCGTACCGAGCATGAGCTTGTCTGGTATCAGCGGTGTAAGGGACATGCCCATCATCTCCCCTAACATTGTGCGGCCCTTATCGGAGCATTTGATTCCTGCCCAACAGGCTTCGGCACCTCACAGAGCAGAAAATCACGGGTAAAATATTATTATCGGACAACGACTACTCGCCCGCCTCCTCCCACCGGCACCTGTCACAGTCGCACGTAAAGTTGAAGAATCGCGCCAGCAACTCCCTACGGGCCTCGAGTGACCATCTCTCCGCCAGGTCAAAATACGCAATACAGCACTCCTGACCTGCGGCGATACTTTGCGTCGCATGCATAACCATACGCGAAACATGGTCTGGCCCATGCATCACGTTCGGAAGGCAGGAGTGGTTGAACCAGCTCCCTCGAGTATGCAGCGCCAGCCCGTACGGAATCCCACGCCATCCAGACTTCGCGCCCTCCGGAAACGGGTATATGCCCGTCTTCTTTGGATACATACAGAAGGAGTTGGTTTCCTCCTTGCATATCAGGCTCACGAGATCGGCCAGTGTCAGGCCGTGGGCAAAGGGCTGACCGTACAGGTATGCTTCAGCGAGATCCGACCAGTGAGCGCACTTGGAAGCGGGGAAGAGATCTTGATTGGCCCGGAGTGCAAGGATGCCCTCCCACGAGGTCGCGTCCCTTTGGCGCGGTTCATCCTCGGTCGATGTAGCCTCAAATCTTCCTGCACGGCCGTGAGGGCTAGGCTGGCTCTGATCAACCTGGCGCTGGCACAATGCACGCACGTTGATCCATAGCATGTTGAAATCGTATGTTCCATACCTGGATAAAATCTCGTCCTGGAACTTCTGAAGCCAGGCACACTCAAGCGTATGCCTTTGCTGATCTTGCTCGCGACACTCTGCGTCGCACCATACCACGTCTTGTATGCAGACGCACGCGACGAGGCCTGTTGTCGACTTGTCCATGGTCCTGCTACACGCATAGCTGCTGCAAAAATAGTAGTCGCCCCTCGACGGGTCGACTGACGGAGCCATCGCGTACGGCTTTGCCGCGAAGAGCAGCGTTCCGGCGGCAATATTCTCGGTGGCCAGCAAGCCACGACCCTTCCCGGGCACGGTGCCGACCTTGAGCGCCGGGTGGACAAAGTAGGTCTCGGTGTCCTTCAGCGGCGACGAGCTGACACAAAATTTGGGCTTTTGGGCTAAAACGAAACGGCGCTGTCCCATCATCCCAAGGTCCTGGTCGCGGTCACTCTGCGTCTTCTGGATGAGGCCATCAGGGTGGACAGCAAAGCCGCACTGGTTGAGGAGGCGGTTAAGCTCGCCACGTTTGTAAAGTCGAACGGAAAAAAAGTTTTCCTTGGCAAGTCCATTCTGCAGGTCGATAATAATTTCACGACACGCAACCGTGTCTTTTGTGGCGTTTAGCTCCCTCTCACGACACACAAGTAGTCTTGTTCCCAGGGTAGCAAGATCGCAACCACGGCCATTTATGAGTTGTTCAGAGTCGCGTCCATCAACCCATTCCCAAGAACGATCTTGAATGTTGGATTGCATCCACTCAGCCTCCGTAATGTCCATTACCAAAAAGGCCCCTGGCGCGAGGGAATTAAATATCTTGTTGAGTACATTTTTGTCGTTGGCCTGGCCCCCGTAGCCAAACGAATTACCCAACAGGAGGGCCAGGTGGAAGGGCTCGGTAGTCGGCATTGCTGCCGCGTTGACCTCTGAGAAACGAACGTTGGGGAGATGCGCTGCGCGCTTCTTTGCGAGGTTGACCAGGTAGGTACTTGCGTCGTATCCGTAAAACTGTACATTGGGGTAGTTCTCGGCAAACCAAATACTGTGCCGTCCCTGGCCGCAGCAAAGGTCGAGGACTCGCACTGGTTCATCATTTTGCTGCGGTTGTTTGGGGGCGAAGAGTCCAGCGACGTGTGGGAGGCGAAGAATTTCCTGGCACTCTGTCTCTGTGACTCTGGGATCGTCAAAGACGTCTCCGTCAGTGCGTAGGTAGAATTCATCAAAAACAGTCTTCCACCAATGTTTTTTGACATGGGGAAAGAGCGACGCAACAGGGCCTACGATAGGGGCGGCGCACATGTTCGAGATCCGGGGCGGCGAAAGAGAACAATACAAGGCTAGATCGAAAGTGAAAAAAAGTTCCGAGAGGTTTTCCTAGTCTGGGGAGGCTTCTCGATATGAGCCTTGATATGATATGGTTGTATGTAGGGGACTCTTTCTGGCTTGGGGTCGGGGCATGGCGAATTGGCAATCAATCAATCGCGCCAGCACAGAAAATGGCTGGACGACTTGCAGAAACGAAAAGCGGCTTGCAGCACGCAAATAAGTGCATGGCGGCAGGACAGTGTGCGCTGCATGAATATGTCTCGGCTACAGAGCTGCTGCAGAGACGGTGGCGTCGGATGTCGTGGTAGATGTAGGAGGTCGGATCGTGATGCGGGCGGTTTTTAGACAAATCGTCATCACGGACTGGCATGCAAGACGAAAAGGGCAATTGGCGTACTTGCATACTACGCTAGCAAATTTGTCAAGCCGAGATACAGGCCGCAGTGATGTAAATGTCCATGTGCCTCTCGTAGACACCACAAAGGTTTGGCCAACACTGAAGGGGGGAGAAACGGTGTGCTGAAACTGTACCTGTGAGATCTAACGTTAGTATCTACCGTAATGGAGGTATTAGTAAGCCCCTTTTTAAAACCGCAGATCCCCAGCTGCTGTATTCATGGTATCCTCGGTGACTATTCTCGTTTTGATTAATGTAGTTCCCTGGCATAGGGTAAGCGTTGGCTGGACGCCGGAGCCCATGGCGGTGCAGCTACAGGTGGAGGTCATGCATTGCCAACGGAGCATAGAAGAATTGCCGGTCGTTGCACTTTTTTTTCAATTTTATTTATCAAAGTAATCTTGCACCTTGACGCCATATGAGAGGACGGAAAGATTCGGTATTCTCGGATGCCGTCTTGGCGCTGCTAACACTAAGTTAGTTAACTGGTACAAAGAGGAAGTGGGGTTATCGAGACAACGGGAACGCGTCTCACCCCGACTCCAAGCAGTAGGCCGCACCGCGAAAAGGGGATCCTGCCTCTGATCGCCACTGCACAGCTGGTCATCTCACTGTATTGTTTCTTCCGCATGTCATATTGTCGATGGAGCAACGACCATCAGCTGCGCCCGCGGTCAAGCAAGCTGCCGACGCAAAGCGGACCCCGTCCCCTCCCCAAGTTGAGGACGGCGTCACCAATACTCAGATTCCGTGCGTGCAGGATATTGAGCCCCGTCTCAGTACATGACATGCTATTAATAACTTGAAAATAACAGATTTATCCCCCACAACTCCGATGACGACAATGACTCTGCTCTTGGGGACGACGAGAGGTATGGTAGACACTAGCCCCTGGATGTGATAACTACCCAGCAGATGGACTGTCTTTTCTCTTGAGGAAAAGAAAAAGAAATACAAGATTAACTAGGCTGACCATATCCGTACTCATTTTGACCTGCAGCATAGCGTCATCGTCCGTCTCCCTCACGGACAGCATTTTTGAGTATCGTGCCCTCCATGGCCGGACATACCAAGTCTCCAAGTCGACGGAATACTGGGGTCCCAACGATGAGGAGCAGAATGAGGGGTTGGATCTAGCGCATGCACTCATCACAATGCTCATAGGCGACCGCCTCTTCGAAGCGCCGCTGGAGAGGGCGCCGACAAAAGTTCTCGACCTCGGCACGGGTACCGGCATCTGGGCGCTCGACATGGCCGACACGCACCCCGCGGCCACCATTGTCGGCACCGACATCAGCCCCATCCAGCCCAGCTGGGTGCCCCCCAACTGCTCCTTCTACATCGAGGACGCGCAGCTCGACTGGACCTTTGAGCCTGCCAGCTTCGACTTTGTCCACATCCGCGCCATGTACGGGAGCATCGACGACTGGGGCCGCCTGTACAAGCAGGCCTACGACGCTCTCCAGCCCGGTGGATGGATCGAGAACTTTGAGTTCACCATCCACCTGCACAGCGACGCGCCGCACGTCCGGGATGACCCGTTGCACATCTTCAAGCGTTGGGCCGCCGTCTTCTGCGAGGCCGCCGACCGGCTGAACCGGACGCTGCGCATCGGCAACAACGGCACCATCCGGCGGCTGCTCCAGGAAACGGGCTTCGAGAACGTCACGCAAAAGTACTACCAGGTGCCGGTCGGCTCCTGGAGCAGCGACCCGATGTACCGGAAGATTGGCCTTTACAATCTTGCCTTTATGGAGCAGAGCCTGGAAGGGTTCGCGCTGTTTCTGCTCCGCGACGTTATGAAGTGGGACTATGAGCAGGTGCAGCTTTTCCTGATGGAGATGCGCTCTGAAATGAAGAATACGAGAATTCGACCCTTTTATCTCATGTAGGTATCATGCACCAGATCCATGCATAAGATGCACGACTAACACGGTTGGTGCAGGACAAATGCGTACGCGAGAAAGCCACTCTAGCACAGCGCCGCTGCAGGACAACAAGCTTTGCGGCGACAAGAGGGGACTTGGCCAAATTACGGTGGCATATTGTTTTCATCTCTGCAATTTATGATTCATGAAAAATCTGGGTTGTTTTTTCACTTTTTTTTTTTCATTTGCATCATTTTATTCATCATTTCTTTCTGCTTTGACTAGACATGGCAGCGTTGTACTAGACCAGCGATCGCCTCAGTTTGGGTAATCGACTATTTGCTTATCCGCGTTGTCAGTAGAGTTATGCTTCCTGGTGAACAGGCCTAAGAATAGCATCCGTATCGTCCTGGATCTGCTTCCACACTCTCTCGACCGCGCCTTGCTCCTTGTGGCGCGCCAGGATCCTCTCGACCTTCCTAGGCGCCTCCTCATTGTCTGCATCGCAAGAATAGATGCCGCCCCCGGACACGCCATCGACGCCTCTCGCCACCGCAATGCCATCACCTACCGGGACCGACTCCTCGACGCCTTCCTTGGCCTTGAACCGCGCGCTGGTGAGGTAGTAGAGATGTCTCGCGCCACTCTCCTGGTCGGGCTTGTAGAAGAGCAGCGGCCCCAGCGCGTTCATGACGACGAAGGCGGCCCGGAGCGCGCCCGTCGTGCCCCGGGAGATGCCCGATCTGACGAGCCCCGGATAGTCGTGGATGAAGGACACGGTGGGCGCCTTGTGCGCAAAGTACATGTTGGTGAGGGAGATGATGGAGCTGTTGTGCGCGCGCTGCTTGGCCAGACCGCCGCCGCGTAGGAGCTGGAAGTCGTCAAAGTCAACGGCCCCCTCGTCGGTGCCGGTCGAGACGCTGACGACGCGACGGATGCCTGTCGCGGCCGCAAGTTGCGGAAGGAAATTGGCTATGATGCGAGTTCGGGAGTACACCCTCAAAGCAGCTGCGACATCAAGCCCTTCGGCTGTTTCTAGAGGGATATCGTTAGAACAGTTTTGGCCTCCCGAAAGTAGTCACGACGGCAAAAAAAAAAAAAAAAAAAAAAAGAAGCAATACACAAAAATGAGTAACTCACTCTGCTTGCTGATCAATGTCCCAGCGCTCCAGAAGACAATGTTGATTGCGCTTTCTTGTTCCTGCACCTTGTGACACAGGCGGTCCACGTTGCGCAGCAAGCTAATGTCGCCCTGGACAAACGAGTACCGACCCTCTGGATTGATCTGCTTGCAGTCGGCGGCGATGCGGTCAAACGAGGTCTGTGAGCGTCCCAGGATGTAAATGCGCGGCTTGCGCGCCGCGCGGGCGAGCTCCTTGAGAGTGTACTCGCCGATGCCGCTGGTGCCCCCGACGAAGACGGCGACGAGGCCCTCGGGTAGTGAGTTGGCGATGAGCATGTTGGAATCCCGCACCACGGAATATGCAACCATGGTGAATTTGGATGATGTCGATGGTCTAATCGGCTCTTTCCGGTCGATGGTGCAAGGTGGTGTGTGTAATTATAGCACTTATTTCCTTGTGATTAGAGAAAGTTGTTGCGACCGGGTTTGAGCTACAGTAGACCAGTTGGTCGTCGCTGGGCCTTGGGTATTCCGGCCCTGGCGCCGGCTTACAGGGCAAATTGAGGGCCGAAGCAGCCTACAGCAGTCTGGAACATTGCACTGAGACGAAACTCATTCTCGCCGCCTTGGAAACACAGAAAAACAAACGAAAAAACGACCGGAATCAATACATCAATTGTCGATGCCCTTCCAAACCCTCTCTCCTCGACACATGCCTTAAATTTGGGCATTTTAATCATGTTTATTGCAACCGTGTCCAGTCACTGCCCGTCCTGTCGACACTAAACGACGGCGCCTCCAAGCAAAAGACGCCCCAGAACTCATTACCAATTTGTCGTCTGGCATGTCATCATTCATCATTTCATCCATTACGTCTCCCTCGCATATATAGCATCGATGGCCTCAAAACAGCTCCTTTCGCTCCGTCACTTGAACCCACATGTTGGAAATTTGGAACAAGCCAAGGCAGTTGTGGCTCGTCCAGGGCTGCGTAGGGTTGATTATCGCCAGGTCGAGTTGTCGGAAAGTCTGCGGTGAAATGCCATCAGCCACGTCCACGTTTTCACCCATCAACAATCAAGCGACATGTCTTAGACACGCATACCTCGAAGATAAGTTTACTAATCTCCATCTGCGCGACCTTTTGTCCCAGGCAACGAAACTTGCCGTGACCAAAAACGAGTTCATTCGTAAACGTCATTACGCGAAGCTTCTCCTCGTCGGTTTCCAGCCAACGCTCTGGGCGAAACACATCCGCATCTGCTCCGTATATGTCTCGGCTACGATGCATCGCATACGCAGAGTAGCCAATGCAGGTGCCGCCCGGTATGAAGTGTGCCTGGCCATCAACGATGACCGTATCACCGCCCGGCGGAACATCGCGAGAGAAGATGTTGGCAACGGGCGGGCTCAGACGCGTCGCCTCTCGGATCACAGCTTGCAGATACCTCAGCTTTCTGGCCTGCGCCGCCGTTATGAGGCCGGCGGCCTGGCCTGGGACGAGCTGGCTGCGCACGGCGTCGTCGGCCTCCTCTTGAAGCTTGCGACACACCCGCGGATTGGTCATGACGTAGAGCAGTGTCGCGCGGATGGCCGTGGCGGTCGTGTCGGACCCGGCAATGATCTGCTCCAGCGCCTCCGTCCGCAGCTCGTGGCCGGCGAGGCCGTGCCGGATGAACGAGGCCAGCATGTCGGAGCGCTCGTCCGCGGGCTTGGCGACGCGCTCGTCGACGAGCCGGAAGCAGGTGGCCATCATCTTGCCGAAGCCGCTGCCGTCATTTGGCGACGGCGCGATGAACTGGCCTAGCCAAGGCACATGGGTCAACCAGCTGAAGCCCAGGGCCAGCGCCGTGTTGCCGATGGACAGTCCCTCCTCGCTCGACTGTAGATAATTGTCGACGTCCTTGTCGGCTTGCAACATACCAAAAGCCGTGCCGAGGCCAATCTTGCTAATGACATCCAGCGTGAAGAACTGAACCTTGCGCCCCATGTCGATCGGCATGGTCTTTTCGTCGGACGATATGTATCTCGTTCGCAGGAGCTTCAGAAACTGGTCCAGGCACTCATCGATCGAGTCTTCAAGATGGGCATTCTCTCGGCCAGAATACTATGAAAAGGGAGTCAGCTCACGTTTTGAACCTGTCTACTGTTCAAGTTGGCGCTCGTCGACCACATCATACATACCCCGGGCGCCATCTGCTTCCTCCTCATGTCATGCTTCGCATTGTCGGTCTGACTAAAAACATTGTCTCTGCGATGTTCAATACGGACGGCGTTGTAATACCAATCAGAGCGCTTGTATCCAGCCGTGTTATTGACGTGCGCCCAGACCTCCGGCGACGAGGTTGTGAGGATGTTGGGAGCCACCCGCGCGATCGGACCTGACCAGATGTCAGAAAGATGACCACCTGAGCTCCCCTCCATGGCGAAGCTATCCGGGATGAAGTTGGGCCATCCTTACCATACTTATTGTTTGCTTCCGCATAGAACAAGTGGCTTTCGCCGCGGAGCATGGCCAGGCGATGGGGTAGGCTCGATACCGCAGCCCGGGAGGAACCGCGAAAGGAACTCAGCCGGTGGTAGTTCCAGAATATGTTACTGGCAAGAGCAAGTGCTACCAATGCAGAGAGATACGGCAGGTACAATTGCCAGTGGCTGTTGGTGCCATTATCATGAGCGTCGCTCGCACCTTTGGTAAGATTCATTCTGGGCTTGACAGGTAGAGAAAAGAGGGGTTCCGGCCAGTCCATCTCTCCTTTGTGAAATTGATCAGCTAAAACTTGTGTAGTGCGATGTAGGCCGGCACTTGCTTCACAAGGAGCAATAGCCCGCCTACTAGTATCGAGTACTTGACCAGTCGGGGACTTGAAAAGATGCGGGAGGTTCCGCTTGTGGATGCACAACGAACATGGTGACATGGCGCTGGTGTTATGTCCAATAAAAGAATAGTCATTAAATTCTACTACACTACATGAATTCCCCCGATAATAATAGATAATAAATAATGTCTAATTACAGATATTCTATGCTATTTTGTCGCGTCCTTTCCCACTTGGCTAGCGAGCAAAGCCAGGCACTTGGCCAGCTCCTTTTCGTTTTTTGCCGATGCATATACAAAAAAGTCCGCCCTCACGATGACAAAGCTAGACTTTTCTCCCACGCGTTTTACGTATGCCTTGGTATCGTACCCTCCGCAACGCCTGTACTCGGGCGCCATCACGTCGAATTGCCGTGGTGTATACAGCTCAAATGGCTCGGTCGAGGCGCCCTTGACCTGCTCACCCGACTCATCTTGCCTGGGGCTGTACACCACGATCGAAGCTGTGCCGAGTACGCTTGGGGGCAGAGACGCCTGTTCCACGGCCCGTTTTGCCTGTGAAATCTTGGTCCCGCACCCTCGCCCATCGCCAATGACAAGCAGCGTCATGGCAGTCGAGCCCCTGAGAATGCAGTCCGACAGCAGGACCTCGCAGGTGCTGGCCTGCGTCACGTAGATCTGCGCCAGGCGCATGCCGCCACGGTACTTGCTGGCGAAAAATCCTCCCCGGACATCCGTCATGCCCAGGCGCTCCACGCGAACCAGCGGATCGATGGCGTTGGAGAGCCGCGCGGAGCGGTCCATCCGCGCCTTGGTCCTGTAGCCGAGCCGCGCCACCAGATTCGGCGGAGCGGAGGACATTTGGCCGAGGCTGATGGACAGATATGCCGTCATGTCCACGCTGTGGCGCCGCTCACGCGCCCACGACTCCAGCAGCGCCTCCGCCCACGAAGGCGCGGGCTTGTCCGGCGAGAACCGGCCGACCAGGACGGACAGGCGCCAGGCCAGCTGGTGGGCGTCGCGGAAGCCGCTGGCGATTCCCTGGCCCGCGAAGGGGGGGAAGACGTGGGCCGCGTCGCCGATGAGGATGGTGCGCTTGTCGAACCAGCGGTTCACGACCCTGTGAGTGCAGTGATACGGTCGGCAGCGCAGGATGCTGATGCAGTCGCGAGGATATTGAACGGCCTTGCCAAATTGTGTGCCGCGATCCCGATCCTCCTGTATGGTCACCATCGGCAGGATGTGCTGCCAGAAAGTCGTCTCCGTCTCTCCATCGCTCATCTCGGCGTCGCATCGGAACTCGTGCCGCCAGAGTCGCTCGCTGTGCGGGCCGAAGCGTCCCCCCGCGGTCGGCAGCCCGGGCGGACAGCAGAAGTGCCACCCTTTGGGCCAGAACAAGTCGTACACTTGCTCCGGCGTGTACCCCAGGGACCAGAGTGCAAATTCGGGATGAGACTCTGGTGTTGGCAGGGAGATTTGAAGGTTGGCCGCGATGCTGGTTCCGTCATAAAAATGACGTCCGGCTTCCTGCTTGATGCCGTTCGGCTCCAGAAACTTCTTCCTCACCACACCGGCCTTGCCGTCCGCACCAACCAGCCACTGACCTTCCACCTCATGGGTTGCGCCGGACGAATCTTGAAACTGGATGCGCGGCGGCTCTTCGCTCACCCGCTCCATGACGGTAGAGCCGGTCAGCAGCTTACAGCACGACGAGGCCTCGATCCTGCTGCGCAGTGCCTTCTCCAGACGAGGCTGCATCTGCAGCAGGCCTTCGGGCACCGCTTGTTGGAGTGCATTGGTGGCACCAGCCTTCAGCGTGAGGAAGGATGGCGCGTTGAATGAGCTGCGATGAATCTGTACGGATTCCGCTGCATGGCCGACGTATTCCAACTCATCGCCAATGCCGAGGTCATAGAGAATCCGGACTGCATCGCCTGTGAGGTAGACTCCTCTCGGGTCTAAGGTGACTTCAGTTTCCTTTTCCAGTATAACAGTCTGGGAATGGGTAGGTAAGTTTTCGTGGCCGGTATTGAGTTGCATGAATGACAAATACGAACCTGCACGTTGAACTTGGCCAGTGCCAGCGCAAGGCAAAGGCCCGCTGGACCAGCGCCGACGATGATAACTTGGCATCTGGTCACCATGACGATTGTGCATTAATAGGACGTAGTTCCATGACGCGACAAGTTGCATCATGGCTCCAATAAGTATTCTCATCCAATTCCCTTCTAGAGATTCCTTTTATACCCATGTTCGATTTCAGCATTGATGGTTTGTTTCAGGGCGCTCTGGGCTCGGACGGCAGTGGCCGAGCCTAGTTGCAACTCAGTCGCGCCTGTGCGTAGTTGGCATTTGCCTCAATTGACGAGTCGCTAATGCACCTGAGACCAGGGGATCTGGATACGAGGCATTAAAACGTGTTTTAGCGGTCTGAACGAGCTTCAACCGTGGTTAGAGTTCGTGTATGTTGTGCGGCCAATGACCCCGACACACATCTAAAACCAGGCTGCTTGATGCTCCCAATACTAACAAGTTTTCTAGGCATATCTGGGATAGATAAATATTTTGTAGAGCATAGTATCTGGGCATATTATATAGTAGTTATAAAAAAGTCAAAGTAATTAACTCTTTCTTTTATATTCTCATACTTAGTTTTATTATATGATCAGCCTACCTTCCCCTCCACCGAAGCAGCATGTGTAGGGTAACCTTTCTGGAGTATGACTGTCTTTGCCACTGTTGTCCCGCTCTGGACAGCTCCGTCAATCCAGCCTCGCCAGCCGTCTGACCAATCGGCGCTGGCAAAAAGGATATTGCCGTGTGGCCGCTGGAGAGCCAGCAAATACTTTGTCGTGGCCTCCGGCTCCATGAAACACCACGTGCCGTTTGCAAACTCGTCGTCGTTCCAGTCGTGGGAGACCTAGATGGCGTCGTTAGCAATGACACGTCTTGTGAGAGGGTACCACGGCAAAATGATATGCATGCGTGGCACGCTACATACAATTCGGTTAATAATCACCTCCTCCTGCTTGTCCTTGGGTAAGAGGTGGGTGACTGCGGACTTGATAGATTCAGTGTCGTCTAGGGAAATGCCCAGAGGCGTGTCGGGGTCTGGCCCAAAACACACGAGATGAGAGTTGCTTGCATTGGTTAAGTGATCCCCAAACGCCGAGACTAGACCTTTTCCAGGCGTGCCTAGCGATGTCCACGACAAATAATCCGGGCCATTCAAGTCGACATGGACCTTGTTGCACCTGTTGACTGATTTGTGCTGTATTGCCTCTAGCTTGTCCGCAGGAAGTGGTGGCCCAAAGTCGATGGACGGCAGAACATTGAGAGGGATGGTGCAGATGACCGACTTTGCCTTCCACACCTGTCCATCTCTAGACGTGACGGTAACAATATCGTCAGCGTCCTCGAGGCGGTGGACAGGGGTCTGGAAGCTGTAGGAGAGGTTTCCACTAGACTTTGCGTGCTCAAAGATGCGTCGGTGCAATTCGCTCTGTCCACTCCGCAGCCTAGTATGAAGCGCAATGTCGTTCAGCCCTGTTGGAGTATGAGAGCCTAATGACCACCAGAGGAGGACACCAAGCAATCCGATTTTTTCCAGAGAGCTGCCTCCCATCTGAAGCAGCTGGGATTCCAAGATGCTCAGCTCTTCTGGCGAAAGTTGGTCGCGGATCTCTTCCAGGCGGTCTTTGCAGGATAGCTTATCGCATTGAGCCATGAGTTTCTGCGACTGGTCCGTAGCGAACGGGTATTTCCAGGAATGTCTAAGATCCTCGCCGTCCACATTGCAAAACTTCCGCAGCACTCGCCCCGCGATGGTGGCCTATACATGACTTTTTGTCAGTTTCTGCCAATAGCACGTACTCTGAAGAAAATATTCACTCCTGAGTTCTTACCTCTTCCTCGTGCGACATGTTACGCTGCTTGCTCCCCGTCGTGGCTGTGAAGTAGTCTTCCTTGCTGCCGGGGTTCTGGGTGACAATGAAATCGTTGTGTAGGCCGTAGTACGAAATCTCGCGATAAATGTGCGGCATATGCCAATGAACCCAAGTTCCGCCCATTTCGTAATTGAACCCATTGATGGTTGCATTCCACGTGCGACCTCCAAGCCTATCGCGGGCCTCAAGTAGCAGCGTCGTCTTGCCTGTTGCGTGGCTGTCAGGTATGATACCAGATTGGGAACAGGCATGATTCGAAGCATACCTTGCGTCGCCAGGTCTCGAGCGGCGATTAGGCCAGCATAACCGGCTCCAATAACAATGACATCGTGCACCTTACTGCTAGGCTGGGGAGAGTAACTTGGAGGCTGGACGGCACCAATCGTCGGGAGACCTTTACGGCGCCCAGCCGACGGTGTCCAGGTAAAACCACCCGCAGAGTTTGCCATGCTGGAGATTCTGGGAAAGCCTGGTGGCGTTGCAGCGATGCTGATTTATAGATAGCGTCGCTTGTTGTTTCGTATGTCCAAGGAATCCGCAACCTTGGTCCCTCACGTCTCGACTTCTCTGATCTTTGTGAAAAACTGAGAATCTAGAGGTATCCGAGTAGGAGAGTCGATGAGCTGAAAGAAGATTCTGTCTTGCCATAACTGCCATGCCTTCGACTGCTTATAACCATCTACCCTACGTTTTGATTCTCACAATTATTCTTCCTTGCGACTTTCCCGCCAGCCAAAGGGTGCAAAGACGGAAAATTGCAGCCAATTACAGTGGAGCTGTGAACTGCTCGCTCTTTCCATATTTGGATAACGGAAAACGGAATATTATGGGGATTTACCGGGATTCCCTGGACAACAGATTCCGCAATAACAGCCACCTTTTCTGAATGTACCCGAACTGTTTGAAGTGGCCACAGGTCTCAAGCACGTGGACATCCCTATCCTAAAAAGAGTTGTCATCAGTATTATAGTGCTACATCTCAAGTGAGGGGATATAATGATCAAGCGTTAATGCAAGAACTACACTTTACGAAAAATCCAATTACAGGGCCACTAACGATAGCACCGTCGTACATCACTGCGCGGCAACCGGATGTAAGTCTGGTATTAAGCAGCCATTGTGAGCCCCCCAATCACATCTTGAAGAAACTTACACGGCGCACTACACTCAGAAGAACATTGAAGTGGAATGAAAGTAAGAAATAAAAAAAAATAGCTGACGCTAGGAAATAGGATGATTACTATTTGGAAGTTCGCTCCTGCAATCGCGCCGGCAACGTGCTCATCATACTTGAGAAGGGGCATCTCGCCCGAAGCACTGCTTTCGCTGACGTCCCTGAGGATGCTCGCATTATGCAACAAGAAATCTTCGGGCCAGCGACTGTGAGCACTCTTCACTCTGCAAGTTGCGCCTTGGTATGCTTGATGGAGCGTATATATTAGGGAGACTTCATCATGCTGAAAGTATGGATGCACATGTTCCTACACTCCATCTCTCTCACAAACACCACAGGAAGCATCTGCCAACATCACAATCCTGCACTACCCTCGACCTTTAATGAGCCTGACGACGAGCTGCTACCTTATAAGCGACGGCATACCGAGGGGTCGAGAAAGTAATGGTACTCCCACGGTGGATAAAGAAGGTATCGCCGGGCAACAGCTTCGCAGTGTTTCCCTTCTCATCCACAACGTGTAACTCGCCTGCGATGTGACGAATTGTTAATAGCCATCTCTGTGCACGGAACTGGCGGACTCACCCTTGACCACAATACCGCTCTCATCATAGGTGTACGTCGGAGCCGGCTCTGGGTTTTCCAGCTTCTCGAGCAGAAACAACGAACCGGTCAGCGGATTCGGCGCATCACTCGAGGCAGTCGAGAAAATATCGCCTAGATCATAGATGGTATCAGCAGACTGGCGCGGTTTTCAGCCATTTCTGGAAAAATTGGCTGCGCAAGGCTCGTACCAAAGTAAACATTAGGAGGTCCAGGTGTGAGCTTAGGCACATGGTGGAACCTCCCCTCATCCTGCCATTCGAAAACCATGATGAGGACGTTGGTTGACTTTCTTTCGAGCTGAAAATGGAATTAAGCTGGCTTGGACCTTGAGGATTAATGTACTTTAGGAAATCCGAGAGGTGAAGGGCACCGGTCTCGTGTTATAACTGAGGTCTCTGGCTTGCGGACGGAAAATAATTCGGTCCTTTGGATTAGGGCCAATAGTCTATTAATCCGGCTTGATAACATCGAGTCCATTGCCTTTGGCTGCCTTTCCAAACGCGTGCAAGTTCGCGCATCGAGGCAACGTAGAGCACCTAGGCAACGTAGAGCACCTAGGTCAGCCAAGAAAGAATGAAGTGGAATCGCAAATGGGAGTCTCATAACTACGGCGGCAATTCTATTCACTTACCCTATACCTACCATACACCTCCTACCCCTAACGGCATTTCTACAGTCACAACATACCCTAATACGGATGAGGCTGGTGCAGTCGATTGTCCCAGCGATCAGCCAATCAGGTATTAAACCGCTATTCTTGGAAGAAAGCACCCCGCAACCCCGAACCGTGAGGGGTACATTCTTCCAGGGTGGGCGGGAACCCTTTCCGGGTCCCTTTCGACCATTACATTGTGCCCCCTCCGCGTGTCTTCAAGCAGGTATGGGGGACCGCAAGCCACAGGAGCTAGGTCCGCATTTAACATGGCGTGTTCAATGGCAAGGCCGCCTTTGACCGTAGTGATAGCTGCATGTTAAAACCCCAACGTAAATCGATGCGTTGAGAGCTTGCGCCGGATCCTACTACTACGTCCTACTACCCCTTCTTGCCACTCATACACCATGGTTGAGCAGAACCTACACGTCCTCATCGTCGGCGCCGGCTTTGGTGGCCTGACGGCAGCCATTGAATGCCGTCGACGCGGCATGCAAGTCACCGTCATCGAAACCTACCCTACAAGTCTTGCCTACGGCGATATCATCGATTTCTTCCCCAACGGTGGACGCATCATCGAGGCCTGGGAGGCCGGCCGCGTTGGCCGTGACCTCATGAAGGTCTGCATCAACCAGGGAGACAAGCTGCAGTACTGCAAAGCTGATGGAACCATGATTTGGGAGGAGGATTGGATTCTGGAGCCGCACCATTTCTGGAGGCAGTATGGCGGCCACCGGGGTCAGATGCACAAGGTCATGCTCGACTATGCAGTAGAGCTCGGCGTGGCCTTTGAGTACGGCGACCGCGTGGTGCAGTACGTCGACGGGGAAAAGCCCGGAGTTGTGACGGCCAGTGGAAGGCAATTCACTGCGGATGTTGTGGTGGCTGCTGATGGCCCCCGATCCATTTCTCGCCAGCAGGTTCTTGGCCTTCCCGATACAAAGGTCAAGAGCGGATACGCCATCTTCCGCGCACACTTTAATTTGACGCAAGAACATCGGAAGAATCCAGCCCTGGAGGTGTTTTGCGACCCTACCACGGACACGACGAAACTGTGGGTGGGAAAAGACCTACACATGGTCGTATATACCTGGAATCATGGCAAGGACATTGGCTGGGTCCTGACGCACAAGGTAGGCCATCGGCGAGTTTAAAAGAAAGATGCTGCGCAAGAGCCGGTTCCCGCACCATCGCAACCTACTAATAGTGGTCATACGTAGGACACGGAAGACATTGGTGAATCTTGGTCATTCCCGGGTAGGAGAGAGGATGTGCTGGCATGCCTAACCGAGGGCGGGTTCGAGCAGAGACTTTTTGAAGTCGTAAAAGCGACGCCGGAGACCAACATCGTTGACTACAAGCTGGTATGGCGCGATCCGTTAAATACGTGGCTGAGCCCATCGGCGCGCATCGTGGTCATTGGCGATGCGGCGCACTGCCACCTGCCCACTTCTGCACAGGGAGGCTCCCAGGCGATGGAGGACGGCGTCGCGCTCGCCGTGTGCCTGCAGCGAGCCGAGGGCGACGTACCTCTTGCCCTGCGCGTGATGGAGAGGATTCGCTTCAACCGCTCGCACGTCACGCACATGGCCTCCATCACGGTCCGGGATGGGTACCACAGTTTTGACTTTGACGGCGACGAGATCTTGGAGAACCCCCAGGCTCTCAATCTGCCACGACCGGAGTGGGTGATTGAGTACGACATCGAAAGAGCATCCGAGGAGCACTTTGCCGACTTGGCTGCCGATGTCAAGTCTGGTAAGCCAGGGAGTATCCAGGAACTAGCCCTCCCTGCGGGAGGCGACTACAACCTAGAGAGCAGAAAGGTTGGCCCTGCCAAGATAGCCATCAGGTAAAATGTGAACGAGTTGGGGTATTACTTTTCAACGTCTTTACTTAATGCAATGCGAATACTTGTGTCGCTTCCATGTATAAAGGATTAGCCGCATCTTCTGTCCGTTCGGTGTGATGATGCTACCTTACCCCTGTCGGCATATTACTCGTCGCAATACTTTACATCATCCGCAGCTGCAAAATCGAGAGCACTGCAAGCGTAAACTAAACACTATTCGCATCCTTGTATGTCGGAGTCATGTTTGTTAGCAGCATGTATGACTTTCTATTACCGGAAGTTCGCTTTAGCAGCTTACTCTAGACGTCAATTAGACAAAGCCCGGCCCTCTCCCAACAGAACAGGGCCTTGGAGAGTGACATCGGAAAGGACTAAAGTGGGCATCTTGGCTGATTGTACTCGCGCTTTTGGTCACAATTATTTATTTAACTTTTTAGGTATGACTTGCGCTGATACCCAAACTCGCTCCGCTGGTGGACATGGATGTCGCCAAGACACCATCATGCAGCAGTCGGGATGAGCTCTCAGTTTGTCTGCATTATTATTGGCGAGATCGTCCCAGGTTCCATACAACTAGTTGTCCGACATCTTGCGGCCAATCAAAAAATATTCCCGAGGTCAAGCAACTGCAATATGGATAGCGTCTGTATAGCTCTTCTGCTACAGTAGCTACCCCATCTGCCTGCCCAGGACTTGCTAACCGGCTCCTGCCCTCTAGCACAACGTTATAAGCCCTGGCTACAATAACGTTAGGTAGACCGAGGGCTGTCGATATCACCCCTTGCGGAAAGTTTAATTTTTTCGTGAAAAAGAAAGATTTTCTCATCTCCCAAGCCTGTACACAATCATGCCTGGCGTCGTCTTTGTCGCGGGCGGCCTTGGTGATCTGGGCAAGCTCATCACCGAGTCCATTCTAGAAATTGGGCAGTACGAGGTTTATATCCTCTCACGAAGGGTTAGTTTCTACCTATAGCATGAGGAATACTGCCATCTGGGATTAGCTGTAGCTATTGAATCAACGCAGCCAACTAATACCTGGTTCCATATTCTAGATGCCGCCGGACACCATGCCTTCGCTGGCCGCCCAGCCTCAGGCCCAGATTATTCAGACTGATTACAGTTCAGAGGAGGCAGTGGCCGAGGTTCTCGTCAAGTACAACTGCCACACCGTCATATGTGCCTTTGCGCTGGATTTTCGAGCTGCAAGCGACTCGCAATTGAGGCTGATCCGAGCCGCGGAGCGAGCGCCCTGCGTCAAGCGCTTCATCCCGTCCGAGTTCAACATCGACTACGACCTCCCGGGCCATGTCCTTCCCTACCCGGATAAGCGGTTTCATACCATTGCCAGGCGCGAGCTAGAGAAGACAGACCTTGAGTTCACCTACATATATCCTGGGATGCTTATGGACTACTTTGGTATGCCCAACGTCTCGACGCATCTCAGGGAACTGCACCTGTTCGTCGACGCGGCCAACGGCGTCGCGCTCATCCCAGGAGACGGTGAGGTCAAGATGGCCACGTCGTATACCAAGGATGTCGCCAGATACACGGCCCTCGCCCTCGAACTGGAAACATGGCCACTTGTTATGACCACCGCGTCGAGCACCGTCACGCTGAATGAGCTGGTGAAAATGGTAAACAGGAGCCGGGGAAGGAACCTTGCCGTGCAGCACCAGTCCATCTCGGCATTGCAGCAGCGCACAGACCGCAGAATCTTGCCCAGCAACGAGCACATCACAGAACACTTCCCGGGAGGCGTCGATCAGTTGAGCACATTGCTGGCAGACCTCGGGTCCTCCGTGGCTCTGGGTGCGTACGATTTCTCCAAGCTCAAAGGAGAGTTGAACCTGGTCGAGCACTTTTCAGAGAGAACTCGACCGCCCATGAAGCTCGAGAAGCTATTGGATATAGCATGGGGAGGGGGCGAAGTCGGCGGCCAAGGCGACCAAGGCGGCGCGGTCGCCGCGCGCGAGTAAATGATGTCCCTTCGGAGTGATGTCTAGCAATAAGTAGTGAAAGGCCAGAACGCAGATATCATTCGCATTAATTGATTAGCTAAACCAATATTTGTGACTGACCAATACGTTGCATGGCATCCTGCCAGCTTTCTGGCGACGCCTGCCCCTGCACGACCAGATCTTTGTGCGCCCAAACTTCTTCCAGTATCCTCTGCCCATTTTTGGTGTTGTCGAGTCCCAAGAGATGCAGCCCATCCAGCCTCGATTCAATGTAGTCCCGCTCATGCACCAGATCCATTTCGGCTCCCAGAACCACCAAACACCAACCCAGGTTAGCTCCGGGACCGAGAGCGTCAGGAACCATTGTCAAGAGTTCTTGTGCTGTATTCAGAGATTCTTGTAATTCTTGTGTTAGGGCTACCTCCGGCCCGTTGGCAATACGATATACGTATACGTGGCAGGCATGGCGGAAAATCTCAGCGGTAGACACAATCCGTCTTCGCAGTTCTTCCTGCTCCATTCCTATCGCAGTAAGCGGCTGGCTGGACCGCTGACAGGAAATGTTGACCGTGGGCGTGGAGCTGGGCGGCATCGCAGTTGCTCTAATTTGCTCCTGCAGGGATTCCGCTCGAGCGCACACTTGTTGTTTTGTTATCTGACCGTGCCCGGAAGATGTGCACAGCCGGGAAGCCTTCCACTAAAGATGGTCGTCAGGACGTGCGCTAGATGAATGAAACAATGTCTCGTCTGGGACCCGACATGGCTCCTGTTTCGGCTTCGTGACTGTGACAGCGCACTTACCATTAACTTTACCAACTTGGAGGAGCAGCCAAATAGAGCGTCGACGCAGTCATTCTGTGCAACTGCATCCGTTGCCGCATCAAGCCACGGCATGAGCTCCAGCATCGCTGGCTGGCCGAGGTTGAGTGAGCTCTGCGTATCCAGCAGGCAAACCCACGTTTTGAGAAAAGGGTCGAGGTCGGAACAGTTGCCGCGGGACCGAATCCAGCCGCGGATTGCATGAAAATGCTCTTTCCAACGGCTCGAGCCCGAGAATACCTCAAACGAGACCAAGAGCAACATGGCGGCCAGGACGTCTTGACGGTGGATATTGCTTCGCGCCATGAAACGATCGTGCAGCGCTTGTGACGCCGCGCGGTGATATCTACGAGAGACCGTGTCGGCAGTGTGTTGCCAGCGGCTGTAATGAGATGCCGCAACCGCGATGGCGGCATTGAGCACGGCGGGTTCTTGCATGGCCATTGGTAGCAGAGAGCGATATCCGTTTGTGTCGTAGTCGATGGCCAACGCTATTCTGGAGATGTTTTCTAGACATTTCCGACATTAGCAAGTCATGATGGCGAATAATTGGCCGTAATTGAGTGAGCAGGTTGATATGGAATGAGAAGCGAGGAACAGCGGAAGAAACAATTCCACGTACGGAAATAATGTGTCATGTAGAAGCTCTCCTCTCCTGGCAGTCCCAGGGCAGATATAGCAACTGAAAGTGCCACTTCAGGGTTCAATGGCGAGCGTCCGGCGGAAGGATATCTGCCCTTGGACTTTGCAACTCGTTTCCTCTTGGGGCCCCAGACGCCTGATGACCATCGTATTCGGACTCCATATCCGCCACATCTGATGCGCTGCTTGGAGCACTCGTCGCAGTCTGGCAGGTCAACCATCAGTCTCCTCGCCAGGTTCACGATCCATCTGCGGGGCGGGGGTTGGCACGTACGCGGCAAGCTTGCATCACATTGCCGGCTATTGTCGAAGCACGTCCAGCAGGCGCCAGTATCATTCCGCTTCTCAGGCCGAGTCAAGTTCTGTTCTTCCATGATCTGTTGTTGTTGTTGTTGTTGTTGTTGTTGTTGTTGTTTTGCGGCGTTGTCCAGGCAAGTTCGTGCCGTGTTACATTTGTGTGTTGACGATTCCAGAAGGGTGACCAAGTTTTGGGGAGAGATCCAGCAAGGTGGGTAATCCGGGGGTTCGGAGATGCCCTTTCTAATTCTCCACCACACGATAAAAGATAAAAGATAGTACATAGGTGCATACATCGCATGCGGGGAAGTTGGGGTTTCTTGCAACTACCGAAACATGGACTGGTTTGCGCCCCCTCCCCCCCCCCCCCCCTTTTTCCAATGCTAATTCAAGTACTTCTTCGATTGTAAAGATGCTATTTATATGTAGAATCCGTTAGGGCTTAGAGTATCATTATAATTGAACGCGTCAAACATATCTGGACCCTCAACAACAAGATCCAGCCCTGGGAATACGCCTAGGTCCAAGTTGAACCCTACGAGTTCTGAAAATGAAGACACGTGGTCGAAATTTGCCTGAAATGCGTTTTTTGCATTCTCTTGCGCGAAGTGCTCAACATGCTCCAGCTCGAGTTGCTCCGGGTGAGTATCTCGGAGGTTTGGAGACGCACTGCGTATGTTGCCCGACATGGCCGTCAGAATCGCGGCTCCCATGTTGTCCAGAAACTCCACAGTCTCTGTTCCCGTATTGAAAGTGTTTGAAACTTGTTCTTCGTTTGCGCTGAGGAGCGCAAGTGTTTCTGTCGTCTTGCTGGAATCCATCTGCCTGTCACGAAACACTGTCGGATTCGTGCTTGCGTCAACCTTGTCCGAAGCGTCATCTGACCCAATGTCCCCTGACAGATGCCCTGTGTACGCTTGAAGCCACTCCGAGTCTTTGTCTAATGTGGTAATATTTGGGCGTTCAGTGTTTTGGGAAATATCTTCTCCGCGGCGCTCTTTACTTCGGATCGGCTCCTGGGTCCCTTTGGAACCTTTTGCTGCATCTGTCTCCCTAGGATCTAGAGGGACGAATGCCGGTTCTTTTATACCAAAGAACCTATTGAAAAATCCATTGAAGGCTGAATCAACGTCATCAGAGGTAGGCATAGCTTGCATCGTTGAGTCGTGAGCTTGAATAAGTATGTTCATCTGCGGATGTCAATGTTCAGCCACGTCTCGCGCACTTGGTCAGAGGCTTAGCATTCATACCCAATATTCTGCTGGAGTGTAGAAATCTTTCAAAGCTCCGAGAATAATAAGACTTGTCTTGAGGTTACCTACGATCCGGGGTTCGTAGGGCTTTGACGACCGGTTTAGTTGGTTGATGACTACCAGTGCGCTTTGTGTGCACGCGAAACCTACGAGGGTCGCATACTAAATCTCTCTTATTAGTCAAGTCTCTTCTTTGTTTTTTCTTTGTTTTTTTTTTTTCTGTTTTTTTTTTCCCGAGAAGCACAACTTACCGAGTGAAAGGCCTTTGCTCTCACAATCTCACGGCATATGCCAAATATTGCGTCTGCGCTTGACTCGCAACGGTATGCCTTTTCCTTCACAAATAGATATGGCGCTCCAGGGAAATGGATATTCTTCACCGTTTTTCCCGGGTCGGTCCCTGCTGACATCTTAACAGGTATCGGAAGGAAATTTCGGTTCAGAACAACAACGCAACAATGCCAAACTAACGAAGAAATCAATGCCTCTATATCTTGCTCTCTCAAATGATGCCTAGAATGAGATTTTAAGAAAAGACGGAATATTTCCGGGTAATGAAGAAGATGCTCTTCCAGCTGGTTTTGCAACGTACGAAACTTGGAATGAAGAGTCCAGGGCGGCGGTTCTTGTTCCTTGACCGGCACTGATTGAAGCTGATAAACGCGCATGAGAATCTCGAGTAGATTCACCAAACCTGGAGGGCCCAAGCTTACGCTTGTATCCGAAGCATCTGGTTTCAAGGCTCTGTCTGGTCGCTGTCGCGGCGGGTACAGGCCTGGATGACCGAGACAGTGTGTTAATTGTGCTTCGGCAAGGTAGCGCTCCGCACTGTTCAATCCATCTCCCGGCTCCAGATCCATTTCACATTCAGATCGAGCCAAATCTATCAGGGCTTGACCCATTGCTTGGTGGTGCTGTCAGTATTCTCCTCGGCCTGAAGATTCCGATGGCGTCCACGGGTAGCTCACCAATGTCAGCCCAAGCCTGCCGACCGTCGGCCTTGCTCGCGGAATAATCGACAAGGATGCAGATGGATTTTATTGTGTTGACTTGAATGTTGAAGTCGCTGGAGATGTGTATGCGCTTGCGTGCCTCGCGTGCTATCCCGTCGGCGAACTGTCTAGCATCCGGTCTTGCTACTGCTTTGTGCAGAGTGAACCTTACTGCGGATGCGCATGCGGCCAGGACAAGGCAGCGCGACATTGCGCCGCTTGATAGATGAGACTCAATTTGGGACGGCGATAGCAACAATCTTAACTGTGCGCTTGACAGTGAGATGAATACCTCCAGTAGGTGGCATACAAGATTCATGTCCAGACCTGGAAGGCTATGCGGACTGCAGTCAGCAAAAGGTCAAAACAGCATCATGACAACCTACACATTGGCAATGGAGTCGTCATGGTAGAGGAGGCATTCCAAACCAGGCTTCCATTGAAGCGGATCGTGTAGAGGGTACCCGTCAGGGCTACAGTCGCTGTCATGCTCACAATCGTCACTGTTTTCGCCGTCGCTGTCCTCGGCCACGATTCGAGTCAACAACTCCTCAGCCGCCTGCATCTCCTGATTTGGCCATGGCGGCTCGTCGCCGACTCCAATGCTGGCGGGTGGCACAACCTCATGATTGGAAACCGGACGGCGGGGGGCCAAAGGGCGTACAGTTCTTTGCGTCTGCGTGTGGCTGGCAGGTTGTCTTGGTTTTGGACCGCGACGACTTCTGCCATCGGCGTCAAACTCACACAGGCGGCCACTCTCGCAACAGAGCGTACATGGCTGAGTACCGCTACATTTTACCTACACAGGCGCTTGCTGCATTAGTTCCCAGTGCCTGGTTGGATGACAATGAATCTTGTGCTTGCCCTTCGCTTCCGACAGGAGCCACAAGCCACGGTGACCTTTCTTCTGTAAGGATTGTGCATGGCAGAGAGGTTGGCAGTAGACGATGCGAAGAAGAAGTAAATATGCCAGTCCCCCTCGCTGCACTCGACCTGACAGTTGCTGTGCCTCTGG